GTGTGTGTGTGTGTGTGTGTGTGTGTGTGTGTGTGTGTGTGTGTGTGTGAGAGAGAGAGAGAGAGAGAGAGAGAGAGAGACACACCATGTGTGTGTGTGAGTGTGAGAGACACACACCATGTGTGTGTGTGAGTGTGAGAGACACACGCGCATTGCCCCTTTAAGTAAACTGACCCCACTCTAAGTACACTGCCTTTTTAAGTAGATCAGCAACTTGAGACAGCAGCTGCTGCTCACAAGCTCCCTCCGTCCTGAGCCTTGTCGTGTCCTCCCCTCCCCCCACTCTGTGGCGATGGGGTACGGGGAGGGGGACACCCTGACATCAGCACCCCTCCACCCCCTGCACAGCAAGCAGGAGGCTCCTGGGAGCAGCTCCAAGGCAGAGGCTAGGAGCAACACATGGCAGTGGGGGGAGGGACACCTGAACTGCCCGGGAATTGATAGCCTGCTGGGTGGCTGCCGCACAGGGAACTTAGGGGAGCTGATGGGGGGCTGCCAGTCCACCCTGGTTCCACGCCCCCACCAGCTGGCTCCAATGGGCTGCTCTTCCTGCAAGCAGTGGACAAAGCAGGCAGCTGTCAAACAACGTTATAAGGGAGCATTGAGCAACTTTAAACGAGCGTGTTCTCTAATAGATCAGCGACATAACAAAGAAACAACGTTAACAGAGACGACATTAAGTGAGGAGTTACTGTATATAAAAATATAAAAATCAAGAATAAAAGAAATCCTAGAGATTTCCTAGAAGTTCAGTACTAGGTGAGACGTTAAAAAAAAAAAAAAAATTGTCAACAAAGATGTAGAAAAGGCTTAAAGCAGCCTGCATTATTTGGTAAATTGGGTTCATTTAAGGAACATGTATTTTAATACACCAAAATACAAGGCCCTATACAGCGAAGAACAAAGAGTGCAAGTCACACTTATTAGATTGGTGACTGTATCCTGGAAAGCAGGGACTCAAAAGTGATTTAAGGGTTATGGTAAATAACACACTGAACATGCACTCCCCACTGCAATGCTAAAGAGAGCTAAATACAATCCTTGGATGTATAAAGAAGGGGAAATATCAAGAAGTAGAGTGAGGATACTACCTCTGTACACACAACTGTGGTGAGACCATTACTGGAATGGTATGTCCAGTCCTGGTGTCCACACTACATGGTGTCCTCAACTACAAGATATGAGCTTGATGCAGAATTCCACCCAGTAATTCATATGACCTGTACTATGCAGGAAGTCAGGCTAGATGATCATAATGGTCCCTTCTGGTCTTACAAATGTATGAATTTGTACAAAACTAGGTATACACTGCTAAAAAGGTGGGGAACATATTTGATTTAATAATGAAAACCTAAACAAAGCTACTTAGTTTGCATTTCTATATAAACATATATTAATTTTCCTTGTTTTTATTATTTATTATTTCTACTTTAAATGCCCGAATAAGGATTAGGGATCCATTGTGCCAGGTACCATACAAACACGTAGAAAGAAAAATCCTTGACCCAGAAATTTACAATCTAAAAAGACAAGATAAACAAACAATATTAGACAGACAACCACTAACAAGTTTTAAATATTTGAGGCGACACTGGGTGCACATTTGGTTTTATTCTCTTCTTCCCCATTAGGTGTTTCTCTGAAAGTTTTTGAAACTAATGTGTTCAAGCTGGATCAGTTCCCATTATACAGAAATACCACAATGCTTTTAACTGGTTTCCTTTCCATCTTCTGAGAAGAACTCATATTACATCTGTATTGACATATATGGATATTGGGGGATGGGGAGGTGTTTTAGCCATGTGTTCTCAAATAAATACAAGCAAACTATGAACATAATGATGTTATATATAACAGAAATATTTAATGTATTTTTAGTTCTTGATGTTATTTGAGATTTATTTTAGTTTTACTTGCAAGGTCACTTAAAGGGATATCATGCATTTGGAAAATCACATTTCCATCTGATGTTTTGCACTCACTATTGTTATAAGTAACCCTTAAGATTACCACAACTGAGACAGACTAAAGAAAAATGTATTTAATCAACGTATTTACTTTATTCATAAGGTGCTGCTAAATGTAGCATCAATATGACTGTTTTGATGATGGTGCATGCCTTTCCTTGGGCTCAGCCAGAGCAGATCTACTAGTAGCAGCAGCAGCAAAGCTGAAACTAAAAAAGCAGCAGGCATTCTGGGCCTGCCCAATTGACCCTTTTAAATATCCTTACCTTTTAAAAAAGAAGTTTTAGGAAATACTATTTAAGGGTTGTTCTGGGAGAACATTTTAAAGTCAGTCAATATAAAAAAAGATTCAATTCAACTTGACAATATCCCTATAGCACACTAACTTGCAAGAGACAATAGATACTTTCATACATTTTAAGGCCAGAACGAAGCATTATGATCTAGTTTGACCTCCTGATTAACAGGCCATAGAACTCCACACAGTAAATTCTGCATGAAGCCCATAACTTCTGTTTGAGAAGCCACACAGCAAGTCAGTGGCCAAGGTGAGACTAGAACCTACGTCTCTTGATGTCCAGTCCAGCACCTGACCCACTGACCATCTTTCCTCTCTTTAAGGGGAAACAAACCTGCAGCTACTACTGATCATTGTATTACTAAGCTAGAAAATGCCTTTTTCAAAGCAGTTTTAGAAAGTGGGGAAATTATAGATTTACCTACCACATTTATCTTTACAACAGTAAAGGGGCACACAATGGTCAACATTTTTAAGTGTAGGTTTTTTTTTTAATAAAACAGGGTGCACAATCTTTGATCTTGGCGGCAATACCTAAATTTAAAAGATATTATTTGACTAGACTGGCCCAAAAACTAACCAATCCTAAAAATTTGATTTTATTTTTCATTCCCAATACAAAAAACATATCAGTTCTATGAAAGATGGGCTGTTATACTTAAAATCCAAAATTTTCAGCCATAAGCACAAGCCTTTAAACAAAGATTAAAATTTCTAAAAATTTCTACACTTGTTATATCTGGTTACACTGTAATTTTATTTCTTTTACAATGAGATCAGAATTGAAAATGCATTTATTATTTCCCCTCTCTATAAAACAGAGTGAAGAGGAACAATAAGTGCCACTGTACTAATTTCCACGCTTCTCCTGAAAAATATACTTGATCTGGTGATGTATAAAAAGTAATATATTTTATGCTCAGAATTAAAGACATTGAAAAAAAGTTTAAATTTTTACACTTTCCTAAAGGAACCTGAAAAATGTCTAACAAATAGTACCTGGCATTAGTCACTGAAAGCCTGAAACTTTTTCCATACTGGTAAAGAAAACCACATTCCATAATAATCAATTTCATACAAATCTTTTGTTCATTCATGAAATAGCCATCAAAACAGTGGTTTTAAGAATTAAGTGACCGACAAATTGAAAGAAAAATACAAATATCTGTTTCCACAGCTTTCACAAATGCTTGTAGATCACTACAAAACATTCTGAAACACTCTTACTTACATATTACAAGAGTGGGGACAGTCCTGACCTGGTCTTCTTTTTCTACAAAGCTCTCCACAGCTATGTGGAATTTCATTTCTATTCCATTCAGGGTTGTTTACCTTACCTAAAAAGCAAGACAAAACAAAAAATCAGATGCAGAAACAGCCCCATTGTATACTTCAATACAATAATGAACTTAAAAGTAAACATACTGAGAGTGATGAGGGAGGGACCATCTTGGACTTTGAGGTGTCACTTTTAGTGAGGTGATATTCCAAATTTTTTAGAAAATAGGAGGCAACTTTTCCAAGACAGGCTGATTTTAAGAAGTGGAAGCTTACTGAAGCTGCTCAGAAGTTTGAAAATTTAGTGTAAGTCTCAAACATATGAATCAGTGGTCAGAATACTGGTAAGATATCTAAAGGTATGCAGTTAATTCATTTATCTCATGATTCTGCAATGTTCTGTGCATGAGCCTACATATGGTAGAGATCTAGGCTCTGGATCTACACAGGAAAGCTGCACCTGTTTAACTTAAATCTTTTCTTAAACTGACATAATTAAAACTAGTGCAAGCCCCTGTGTGAACACTTATTTCAGTTTAATTTAATCCCATTTCCAATCAACTTAACCTAAACCAATAAAGCCACTCTTATACCAAAATAAGAGTGTCCAAACAGGAGTCTGAATTGGTTTAACTATATTGGTTTAAATTCACACGTTAGAAAAGTTGCACCAATATAACATATGTAGGGAAAGGCCTACAATAGCTGTAATTACCTGTACCTTAGAACAAGGTATGCTAGCGGTTTTCTAGATTATTTTTTTCCTACTAAATGTCTTCATATCAATACTGATTCCAAAACATTCCTAATAAAGGTTTTGTTTTAACATTTATCTAAATATTTGTTATATATAATTTTTATATAGGAATCAAACGTCACATAAGTCAGGCGGTTATCTTCCAGTATCATTAACAAAGTAGCCATGAAAGAGAGCTTTTGGGGATGTAAGGAAAGATTCTTCAACAGTATTAGAACTTATTAATTAAGGAATACCAACTGTAAATATGAAATACACTCACCACAAAAACAGGTATAAGTAGTAGGAACTTGTGTTGAAGCATTTTGACAAGCAGGACATCTCCAGCCACTATTGCCATCTGTAAATAAATAAATATACAAGAACTTAAAATATGTTTAAGACAGATGATAAACAATTTAGAATAGTGGCACAAGACAGCAAACTTTTTTCAGATTTTACTAATTTCACCATTTCAAGTAATACTATACTATACCACCTTATAGAAATCTGATTTTGTAATGTGTCACATTCTGTTTAATAAATTAGTGCTATAGAAAAATCAGTGACTCATTTTAAATAAAATAAGAATGAACAGATAGATCTCAAAATAGAATTGCTAATTCAAGATCATGAATGAGTGGTAGTGTTCTTACGGGGGTCCCGCAGGGATTGGTTCTCAGCTCAATGTTACTCTATTTTTATCAATTAACTGGAAGAAAATATAAACTCATTGCCAGTAAAGCTTGCAGATAAAACAAAGATTGGTGGGGTGGTAAATACCAATGGGGACAACATATTACCAAGTGATCTGGATCACCATTATGATGGATGCAATCAAACTACATTTTAAATACAATCAAACAAAGTCATATATTTAGGGACACAGGTTACATGCCATGCTTACAGGATGGCAGCTTGTATTCTAGAAAGCAGTACTGAAGAGGACTTGAGGTCAGAGTAATCAATTGAACATGAATTCCTAACATAGCAATGTGTCAAAATGAGCTAACATGATCACTGGATGTATAAATAGGATAGTATATAAGAAAGGTAGTAATCCCAGTATGTAATATTGGTGAGACCATTATGGGAAAAACTGTATCCAGTTCTGGTGGCCACACTTCAAAAAAAGATGTTGAAAAACTGGAGAGGGTTCAAAGAAGAACCACAAGTATGGATATGTGGTGTGAAAAAATACTTTATAATTAGCAATGGAGTTCAATACATCAGTTTATTGAAGTAAAGGTTAGCAGATTACTTGGAAACATTTTATAAGCACCTACATAGAGACAAACCGCTTAATTGTAAAGGGCTCTTTAGCAGCTAAAGTATAACTAGATTCAGCTGGTCTGAGAAAGATGCATGGGCAATGATACTTTTGTGGGGAAACAAGCAGCAATATGGTCTTCTGAACTCAGTCATCTCCAATAGCTAAGTGGACTGAGTGTCATGTGACTGCGATATGGGCAACACCCTGAGTGGTAAGCAATATCACAGAACATAGGGCCCAATTGTAGTAGGTCACAGAGCAGAAGAAATACCCGAAGGATTCAGTCCTTGTATGAGACTGAGTGCTTCCATGATAACATGAAGGGTGTGAATGAAGGAAAACCAAGAGAAAGACTTCAAAACCTTTCATCCAAAAGCCACATTGGACAAACACCACATCTATTTTATAGTGCTTAAGATGAGCACTGAAAGGCAGAAAGACACACAGCAAATTCCCTGAATTAAGCTCTGTGCTGTTCTAGCCAGCAACTAGCCAAAGGTTGGTCTGAGTGAGACCTCACAGAAGGGGGATCTTTTATGAACACTTCGTAGTCCTGTAAAGGTTCTTGAATATATCTGCCTAGAAATAGTGGATATGGATGCTTAGTGCCCTTTCTTATATTCCCCATATAATCCTAAACTCTGACTCAGTTGTGCAAGCAGCACACAAGGAGGATTGCTCAACTCTGTGACTCAGCTAGGCCCCCCAGTACATGTCTGAGCCAGTATTTCTCCAGGCACATGGAGTGAGGGTATAAAATAAGGGACAGTGGCATCATGAGACCACCTCTCTCCATTTACACTGAAGACAACAAGAACACTGCGAAGACAAAAGACTGTGAACTGAGAAGACTGGTCCCAGACTGAGAAGGAAATTCAGCCTGTGTATAAACATATAACCTACCTGCTACATTCAGTGGGATGAGGAAAACTGTTTGATTCAACTCTCGCTTAGTCTAAAAGTTTAGGATTTAGAATTCATGTTTACTTTTTCTTTTCTAAAGGTAACTATCTCTAACCTTTATGCCTACCACTTACAATCACTTGAAATCTATCTTTCTGTAGTTAATAAACTTCTTTTAATGTTTTATCCTTACCAGTGAGTTTGTCTAAAGTGCTTGGGGAATCTGCTCAGTTTACAAAGGCTAGTGAACATCTACTTTCCTTTGACGAAGTGGCGAACTAATTAATGAGCTTGCATGTTAAAGAGAAGGTCTTGAGCAGTGTAAGATGGTATATTTCTGGGGTGCAAGCATAGGTGTTGGAACTAGGGGTGCTGGCCAAATCCCCTGACTTGAAGTGGTTTCCATCATATACAGGGTTTACAGTTTGGTTGAATGGATCTCAGAAACCCCACTATGTAAATTGTTCCAGCACCCCTGGGTGCAAGGTTAGTGGCTTGGGAGATTTGCTGATGTTTCCCTGTGCATAGTTCATGAACGGCTTGGAGAACATTCATGCAACTTAGCTGGGTGTGCCTCTGCATGGTGATGGCTGAGTAATAACAGCACCTGGAGGGGTTTGCTGCTTGTCACTAGCAAAGCACCGCGAAAGAACTCAGGCTGGAGAGTTATGGGTGCATAGCAGTCCCACAGTTCCAGGTTGTACTCAGGGGTCCCATCACATACACCTTCTGCGTAAGGTGAAGGTATCAATACTACATGAGACGACTTCCCGGAATCTGGTATTGTATAGAATCCTTTTCCTGTACTATATCATTATTGGCTTACACCAGTAAACCTGACTAACATTGGTTATTTCATCTCTTGACTATATTTCATAAGGAACCAAAACGTGGTTAAGCAATTTACTATACAATTTAACAACAAGCTACACCTGACATCGACCACACTCACTTTACCTGGAATATATGCAGATAATAAATGCATAGATAACTGTCAGTAGCAAGCTGGATATGAAAGCACTCTTTCTATTAAAACACCTGTGCCCTGCTAATTACATAATTTACACAACTATACATTAAATTGATGCATAGTAGATCCTGAAGACTCACATGCAGCTCTTCCCTTTGCTCACACACAGAAGGTGCAAAACATATAACCACAACTCCATCAAACAACTCAAAGTTAACCACAGGTCCTCATATCACCAACACAACTTTACCAAGCAGAGCCTACTACTGCCTCCACCATTTCATATAGGTACACCTGACACACTGACTACACCTGGAACGTACATAAATAAATTACCACTGGCTGTTGCCATCTCCAGGGGAATAGAAAATGGCAAGACCAACCTTTTCACAGAATCATAGAATATCAGGTTTGGAAGGGACCTCAGGAGGTCATCTAGTCCAACCCCCTGCTCAAAGCAGGACCAATCCCCAGACAGATTTTTGCCACAGATCCCTAAATGGCCCCCTCAAGGATTGAACTCACAACTCTGGGTTTAGCAGGCCAATGCTCAAACCACTAAGCATTGAGCACTGTGAAACGGCTGTAAAAGGATGTGAACTATGGGGTTGGCAAAGTAAAGATGTGTGATGTTCGATGGTTTGGATGTTCTCACCTCAGTCATACAAAGGGGAGTCTGATTTTCCACTTGTGCATCAAGTAGCTGCATCTTCCATGGTTTGTTCAGATGCAGTTCAATGTGGTACAAAGTCTGCATGGCAGGTTAAAACCAAGAGGGCAGCTTGTTGGGTCAGTAAGGATGTGCTTGTTTGGAAGGTAGATGAGGTCCAGAACTTTGCCATTCCCTGGCCGGATCCAAAAAGACATGAGGTGGACATGTGTGGTCAATAAATTTTGCAATTTCAGGCATTGTTGGGGTATGTTATCCATAACCTACTGGATGGGAAGTTCTGGCTACTCTTTGGCACATTTAAGTTCTCTTCCTGTGGCTATATCTCGGCAGATAGCAAACATCAAACCTCAAGCTAATACAGAAAGCCATGGTAGAGACGTTGATTTTAAAAGTTCCCGTAATGATTCGCATGTTCTGATTTAGCTGCCAAGCCACAAGTTGGATTAATCAGATTCTTGTCTGCACCGGTGCACAGTACTCTGCAAATAGTACACTAGGGCCAAGACTGATGTTTGTAACACCGAGGCAGTTGATCCACAGCTTGTTCCCACTAACTTTTGAATAATGTTGAAGCGAGTCTTCGTGTTAGAGGCTACTTTCTTGAGGTGATCATGAAAGGTAAGTCTACGGTCAAGGATGACACCAAGATATGTTAGCTTTGGGTCATAACGCACAGTTTTGCCACACAACTCCACAGTTAGAGCATTTGTGTGATTCTATTGTCAAGGTGGAAAGTAGCGACTACTGATTTGCTCAGATTTGGTCTCTGCTTCCACTTCTGGAAGTACTCCTCCATGATCTTATGGTCAGATGTAAGGTTCACTTCAAGTTCTTTAAAACTATGGGCCTGAGTTGCAAGTGCCAAATCATCAGCATACACAAACTTCTGCGCTATCATTTCAGGCATATCACTGGTGTATTCATTGAAGAGTGTCGGAGCAAATACAGAGCCTTGTGGTGACCCATTATTCAAAATGCATGGCCTGCTGGTTTGACTTCCGAAGTACATCCACAAACTTTGGCTGCTAAGCATAGCATTCTGCAGCCTGAGAATCCACACACAGGGGATCACTTCGGCCAGTTTCAAGTAGCAGACCATCCTTCCAAACTGCGCCTTATGCTGCTGACAGATCGATAAAAGCAGTACTGGTCTTGAATTTTCATGGGAATCCAGCCTCAATGTTTGTAGCAAGAGCCAGGACCTGATCACAGCAACTTCTTGGTGGTCAAAAACCAACTTGCTCCTTGAGTAGGCTGGCAACCACAGTGGGCCCAATTCAGTTAAAAAAAAAATCATACTGGTCTATAAATATGCGGGGCTGAACCTTAAGTGATTAGCAATTGAATCAGCTGATTGTATACAATATAACTATATTATAAAAGTGTACAGAGTAAGGTCTTTTCTGAAAGCTAATGACACACTGGTGATTTATGTCCTTCTGAAACATATATATTAGCACTATCTGAGGAGATACAGAAACTTAATGATATTATGCTTTAAAGTCTGTGGCCAAACAGGGAGAAACAGGTTGCCTCCCAAAC